ATATGAAAAGTGGTTTTTGGCAAATACAAATTGCCGAAAAAGATAAATATAAAACAGCATTTACTGTACCATTTGGACATTATGAATGGAATGTAATGCCATTCGGACTAAAAAATGCACCGTCCGAATTTCAACATATAATGAATGATATATTTATTAATTACTCAAAATTCACAATAGTATATATTGATGATGTATTAGTATACTCACCATCAATAGACCAACATCTCAGTCACCTAAATACATTTTTAAACGTAGTTAAAAAACATGGATTAGTACTATCCGCTAAAAAAATGTCCCTATTCCAAACAAAAATAAGATTTTTAGGTCACAATATTTATGAAGGAACAATAACACCAATTTCAAGATCTATAGAAATCGCTGATAAATTTCCAAACGAATTAAGAGATAAAACACAATTACAAAGATTCTTAGGATGTTTGAATTATGTTTCAGACTTCCTTCCGGATCTGAGGAAAACTATTCAACCGCTATAACAACGATTACAAAAAAAAACCCTAAACCTTGGACTAATCAACACACTATTCTTGTTAAACAAATTAAAGAAAAGGTTAAAACACTACAGTAACTCTTGAATAGTAATTAATTTTTTTTTCTTTTTAATCCTTACAAGTATTGATAAAGACTTTGAAATTTAAAAACTTAAAACGTAAGACTCGAAAACTAAAGATTTCTAGAGAGAAATTGTAGAGAGAAGGGAGAGCGATTTGTGAATTGGTGCCCTCTTCGGTTTGGGGTGCTTCTGTTTTTATAGGTGGAGTTGAGTAGCTGTTGCGTGGACGCGTGTCATCCATCGGGCGGTGTTGATACGTGTCGTTGATCCAACGTTGCCGACATCTTTGGATGACTTCATTGCTTACGCCTTGAGTGTTGTCATTGTTTACGTCTTGTGGGGTCCTTTTGTTTCTTTTGTCTTGAATATTTTATACAGAGTATATACTCCGTATATTATTAAAACTACTAATAAGTAATAATACTTAGTTGAAGTATAATAACATTTTAATAATATATTGAGTCTACTAGAATGTACATACTTAAAACTTTGCCTTTTCTACCAAAACAATCTTCGTTGACACAATAGTGGCTTGCCATCGGTCTTACTGCCTTCATCAAAGGGCTTGCTGCCTGGAACACCATTTTGTATCGTCGATGAAAGTTAAGATAAAATAAGCAATAAAATTTACATACAATACTTAATATATACAATCTTATTAGGTTTTTTTTTTTTGTGTATATAGGGTCTTCATATTGATCTTGGGCTAGAGGACCGCCGTAGGAGTCGTCATCTTGTATAGTAGCATCGGTGTTGGATTCTTCGATTTGTTGGAGGAATGCGTCGAACATTTTTTGAAGCTCCTCCTTCTTGGATGGTTTTGATGATGTTGTGGAGTGTGCTGGACTAGATGGTTGTTGGGTTTGTTGAGTTTGAGAAGAAGAAGCCTTAGGATTTGCTCCATATTTTTGGATAAGTTGTGTTGCTGAAGATGATGTAGAGGCTTTAGGATCTGCCCCGTATCGTTGGATAAGATCTTGTGGTGTAAGTAAAGGGATGGATTTGGATACGGCTTGGACTTGGGCTTTTGTTTGAGATGTTATTTGGAAGAGTTTGGCGATATTGGTTAATGAGCAACGGTTGAGATCATATTTGTCCCACCATTTGATTCGATATTCTCTGACAAGAGAGTAGGGCATCCCGGGTAATAGTAGGGTAAGGTTGTAATGCCATGAACATATCCATGGGAACATATCCATGGGATTCCCATGTCTATGTGGAAGGCATTCTTTTTAAATGAGTCGATATCTTGTTTGGGTAAGTGTTTGGAATAAAATGGAAAATTGGTTTTGATGATATCGGTTGGGTAAATTTCATTGGTTGGACCAAACCAGTACCACCATTCGTGGAACCAGCCAGGGACTTGGTTAGACCATCTAGAATCGAAGGATAGGAACCAGGAGTGGTCAAATGCCCTTAAGCAGAGTGCCCTGAAGAAGGCATTTTGGTAGTCGGTGTAGGTGTATCCTTGAATATGGTAACCGGATTGTGAAAAGGGTTTTGTGGTATGGAGATTTAAGAATCCAAAGTCGTGTGGGGATTGGATACGTAGTATTTTGCAAGTAGAGTAGGCTATTTGAGTAGGTTCAGATTTGTTTGGATAATGAGTAATCTCAGCAGACTTAGAGTCTACTAGAATGTACTCATAAAAAGTACGGTTTTTGGTTATGTTATCTGTTTTATATTGACAATCTTCATAGAAGATTCGTCTGGTAAAGTTTTGTAGTTCTTTTAGGGAAATGGGTTTTGAATAAGAAGTGGTTACAAGGTGTTGTTTTTGTGATTTGAGAAAATAAGCAGCTTTTTCTGTAGAAGATTGGATTGGTTGTTTATCTTTGGTGGATGCCTGGGTGTTTGCATCAGTAGATACTGCCTTTGAATAAGAAAGAGGTGGGTATTCGGCAAGAGCCGAGAAAGTATTTTGAATACTTAAATTCTTTCCTTGCATAGATGGTTGATTCTTGATATAATCCGATGTGGTCATCGGTCTCTTCTTGTCACTCATGTTGATTATCTATTTGTTGAATACTTGTTTTTCCCTGTAAATATTCTCTAGTTAGAAAATAATCAACATGAGTGACAAGACTTTCTAACTAGAGAATATTTACAGGGAAAAACAAGTATTCAACAAATAGATAATCAACATGAGTGACAAGAAGAGACCGATGACCGCATCGGATTATTTTAAGAATCAACCATCTATGCAAGGAAAGAATTTAAGTATTCAAAATACTTTCTCGGCTCTTGCCGAATACCCACCTCTTTCTTATTCAAAGGCAGTATCTACTGATGCAAACACCCAGGCATCCACCAAAGATAAACAAGCAATCCAATCTTCTACAGAAAAAGCTGCTTATTTTCTCAAATCACAAAAACAACACCTTGTAACCACTTCTTATTCAAAACCCATTTCCCTAAAAGAACTACAAAACTTTACCAGACGAATCTTCTATGAAGATTGTCAATATAAAACAGATAACATAACCAAAAACCGTACTTTTTATGAGTACATTCTAGTAGACTCTAAGTCTGCTGAGATTACTCATTATCCAAACAAATCTGAACCTACTCAAATAGCCTACTCTACTTGCAAAATACTACGTATCCAATCCCCACACGACTTTGGATTCTTAAATCTCCATACCACAAAACCCTTTTCACAATCCGGTTACCATATTCAAGGATACACCTACACCGACTACCAAAATGCCTTCTTCAGGGCACTCTGCTTAAGGGCATTTGACCACTCCTGGTTCCTATCCTTCGATTCTAGATGTCCTAACCAAGTCCTTGGCTGGTTCCACGAATGGTGGTACTGGTTTGGTCCAACCAATGAAATTTACCCAACCGATATCATCAAAACCAATTTTCCATTTTATTCCAAACACTTACCCAAACAAGATATCGACTCATTTAAAAAGAATGCCTTCCACATAGACATGGGAATCCCATGGATATGTTCATGGCATTACAACCTTACCCTACTATTACCCGGGATGCCCTACTCTCTTGTCAGAGAATATCGAATCAAATGGTGGGACAAATATGATCTCAACCGTTGCTCATTAACCAATATCGCCAAACTCTTCCAAATAACATCTCAAACAAAAGCCCAAGTCCAAGCCGTATCCAAATCCATCCCTTTACTTACACCACAAGATCTTATCCAACGATACGGGGCAGATCCTAAAGCCTCTAGGATTCTTCTTCTCAAACTCAACTAACCCAACAACCATCTAGTCCAGCACACTCCACAACATCATCAAAATCATCCAAGAAGGAGGAGCTTCAAAAAATGTTCGACGCATTCTTCCAACAAATCGAAGAATCCAACACCGATGCTACTATACAAGATGACGACCCCTACGGCGGTCCTCTAGCCCAAGATCAATATGAAGACCCTATATAAAAAAAAAAAAAAACCTAATAATATTGTATATATTAAGTATTGTATGTAAATTTTATTGCTTATTTTATCTTAACTTTCATCGACGATACAAAATGGTGTTCCAGGCAGCAAGCCCTTTGATGAAGGCAGTAAGACCGATGGCAAGCCACTATTGTGTCAACGAAGATTGTTTTGGTAGAATAGGCAAAGTTTTAAGTATGTACATTCTAGTAGACTCAGTATATTATAAAAATGTTATTATACTTAAACTAAGTATTATTACTTATTAGTAGTTTTAAATAATATACGGAGTATATACTCTGTATAAAATATTCAAGACAAAAGAAACAAAAGGACCCCACAAGACGTAAGCAATGACAACACTCAAGGCGTAAGCAATGAAGTCATCCAAAGATGTCGGCAACGTTGGATCAACGACACGTATCAACACCGCCCGATGGATGACACGCGTCCACGCAACAGCTACTCAACTCCACCTATAAAAACAGAAGCACCCCAAACCGAAGAGGGCACCAATTCACAAATCGCTCTCCCTTCTCTCTACAATTTCTCTCTAGAAATCTTTAGTTTTCGAGTCTTAAGTTTTAAGTTTTTAAATTTCAAAGTCTTTATCAATATTTGTAAGGATTAAAAAGAAAAAAAAATTAATTACTATTCAAGAGTTACTGTAGCAAAAGTACTGTTCACGCAATATTTAACGAAAAATAGCATTTATTGATTGAAAATCAGATTGTGTAGGGGACGTTGGATATATATTAGGTTCAGGTTCTGCTATGGGTGCTTTAAATTTAATTGGTTCATTCTGATTTATATTTTCCGAATCTTCTTCTTTACTAGTTTGACCAGGATAATATTCGGAAAAGGAAGCTCTTGCAGGAGTTCTATATATTGAGCTATTTGAATAATATGAACTAATTCTCGGTGGAATAGGTTCTCTAAAAGATCCAAATTTTAATAATATTTTTCCATCATTCTGTTCAAATATTTTTGAGATATCTCTTTGTTCAAAATTTCTTGGAGGTTGTGTAATATCTATTTTCCATTGATCTGGAATAGTAATGTCATTTGGGGTTCTCATTGATAGACACAATTACCAACAGCATTTCAAGAGATACCTTTATCTTTCCAGCACGAGCGAGCTTGTAAAGACCCTTGGGAACCCTCGCCTCGCAAACTTCAAGCGGTACATCCATGAACACCTATTTTATCAACACCAATTTTACTCAAATCTTGAAAACTTCAATACCATAAAGAGACAACAAAACCCGCTCTTTGTTGTCAATACCTCGACAAAATCTCCCTCGGGGAGCAAATTTCGACAAGCGTCCCTATCTGTTCTATAAGGAGATATCAAACTCGCAATGCAGATGATTCCAGCATCCGCAAAGAGCTTAGCAACCTCTCCTAAAGAAATCAATTAGAAACAGAATGTCAACACTAAAGCTCACAACAACAACAACCAATATTGGATTAAAGAGATTATATATTAAGCTCACCGACTCTACGAATATTCTCTGCACGATCCTCAGCTTTAAAGCTAAGATCACGGTTTAAGCCATGCCTAACATTATCACCATCAAGAATATAACAAAGCTTCCCCTTTTGATACAACATCTGATTTAAAGCACAAGCCAAAGTACTCTTCCCTACAAATTTTGAATCCATGAAACACATTAGACAGATTTCACATAGACATAAACCAAACTTGAAGCTTGTTTCTACACGAACCTGAACCACTAAGACCGGTGACCCAAATCACACATCCTTTCTGATCAAGCAATCTCTGTCGATCAACTTTCTCAACAGAACATTCATGCCACTTTATGTTCGTCGAGTTTCCGACCGTAGACAAAGGACCTTGCTTTTGTCCTAATTAGACAAAACAAAACCATAAAAATTGAATCTTTTTGGCAAATCATAGCTAAAAATCGGATATTTCTAGAAAATCACGAAGAACGATACATACCCTTGTGACCATTAATCGATTTAAGCTCAGGAATAGATCCATTTTTGTTATGACTCAGAGTTTGTGATCCATCCATAGAAACACAAGCACGAGCACCAACAACAGATCTTGAATTACTCATTGAATTGCTATCGGAAAGCCCTTTTGGAGAAGCAATCGAAAGCCCTAATAGCGATTTAGCTCCGGCGGCAATCATATTTCACGGTGGTGGAGGAAATAAAAATCAAAAATCGGATTAAGACAGAAACAAGAAGAAGAAACTAAATTTGTTGTGTCTGAATGTTTTTAATTAGGGAATGAGGAAAATGTGACCGTTAAATAAAAACGGAAAATTGGAGTTTTTTTTTTTTTTTTTTTGAGAGGGCGATTAGGTAGGTGAACTGGTGAACATAAAGAGTTGTTGGCCACGTTTTTATAATCATCTTATTATTTGTGGGAATTATCAAAACGGTGATGTTTTTGTGAACATTGGGTTTTAAAACTAAATGTATTTAATGATGATTTGCATCCACATTCCTAAAAACAGAAAAGTGGTAATATATTCGATGAGATACACCAATAGGGTTTGATTGGTTTAATTTTGAACTTGATTGGTTTTTTCGTAAGCACACGCAAACTCACATTCCTAAAAACAGAAAAGTGGTATATATTGGATGAGATACACCGATAGAGTTTGATTGGTTTATTTGGTTTAAGTTTGATTGGTTTTTTTCGCAACCAATCTCGCAAATAGTAAAGTTATCATATAAAAAATAGTTTTAAATTGGTTTGATATAAAAATCGTTTTAAATCACTTTATACCATTTCAATCTATTTAAAATCGCTAAATTTTTTTTTGCTCAAAAAAAAAAACCATTTCAATCTATTTAAAATCGCTAAATTTTAAAATATCTTTTCCGCTAACGTTTGCGGCAGTAGACGATTGCAATAGTAATTAAAATTTACGAAAATATTTTTTTTTTAAAACAAGACTTTACTCCTTTTTATCAAATATTATCATATCAAATTTTTAAATTCTTAATTTATATTAATTAAACTAATAATTTGATAACAATAAAAATATTTTTTGAATATAAAAAAGTTCCGAACATTTTAAAATAATTTTTTTAATTAGTTATTCAATTATTTTTATGATAATAATGTTTTCAATATAAATGATATATTATATGTTTTTTGGTAATTTTTACGTTTACAACCGTTTTTAAACAGTCACAAATCATCTGCAAGCGTACCCGTTTTCAAACTGTTATACAAGTCATTCAAATCACTAAATAAATTTTAAAACCGTAATCATCCGTTCCACAAACTTCCACAACTACATTTGTACCCGATAAATCATTCATGTCCTAAATTTCATTATCAAAAATGTGATGGCCTTTAGATCCCATAGTTAAACACCAAATCTTGTGTTGCTTTATTGTAGTCTCTTGTAATTGTAGGTAATGCTCGGTTCTAATGCCTTAGTTTTCATTTTTTTTAAGGATATTACATTCTTAGTAACAACAAGACAAAAGTGATGGCCTAATGGTAATACAGTAAATTCATTTTTCTTTTCTAACCTGGATTTAATTTCCTTTTAGTACGAAAAATTAATCAAAATATTTAAAATTTGATTCTTAATACTAGAAAAAATTATGGGTGGAAAATATGTTATTCCAACAGGTTATGAAAAAAGAAACAAGCAAAAAAAGATACAAATTTCAAACGTTTTATATGTATTTATTAGGCCCACCAATATGGGAGAACTGTGGTAGAGTTTTGGTGTCTGGTCTAAATTGAAGAAAAAGAAATGGTTCAAAAGTCAACTTGAGTTGAGTTGTTTTTGACTGGACTCGTCAAGCCATCAAGTCTGAGTCAAATCATCTTTTTATTTTGAGGGAATTATGAAAACGGTGTCGTTTGGTCATTTGGTTAAGCTAAATGTACTTAACCTGGATTTGCATCCAGATTCCTAAAATTAGAAGAAAAAGAAAGTGGAACATAATCGGGAAATGCACTAACTAAATTAAAAAGTTGGAAATAGTGTTCAGATTAGAGAAATGAGAAGATTCTTACCATTGGGCTGAGATTGTGTTCTTTCATCCGTACGTGTGCTTTTGTTTTTCATTAGAGAAATTAACTACCAAGAGTGCAAACATATCTTTAGAAGTACGATTTCAAAACAGATTTGTTAGTTCTTTTTTTAGGGTCTTCAAAAGAATTTATCTATGTTAGTGAAAGTCGTTATTGAGGACATCATGGTAAAGCATTTGTTCCATTTTATTAGTTTCAATATTTTTTAAAAAGTCCCAAATCTGTTTTAAAGAATTGATGATACAAAATTATTATTTTAGACACTATCAAATTAAAAGTATGATTATTGTGAATTTCAACAGTTAAAGGAATAGCTGAAGTTTTAATGGACTCTATTAATTAAAATAGCTAACATAAAGTCCGGCCCACCCATAAAGTAGCCAAAACATTTGCTTTAGGCTACAAAATATAACAAAGTTTTTAGGGCCACATTATTTAAAAACTTGCTTAGTCTAGTGGTTGTGTAGTCTATAAATTAGTGTTATGTCCCGAGTTTGAGTCTCTTCTTTTACAGTTTTTTTTTAAAAAATTAACAATAATTTTAAATAGAAAATTATATTATTTAAGTATGTTTTAGGCCCCAAATATCTAAGGACCGGGCCTAATTGTCATTAATATAAAGTTATAAAATAAAATTAAAATTAAAAATATGATTATACTATAGAGCCCCGTTTTTATTTCGTATTCAGCCTTAATATTCTCAAGACCGGTCATGTATATAGTTGTTGTTAATTGACTACAGATTCTAAAACATGACAATCGCGGAAGCGGTAGAACTCGTAATTATATTTTTGCAAGAATTTCAAGTAAGGAAGGTGAGAAAACTCTTTTAAAAAAAAACATGTATTAATGTTAAGGAAATAAGTCTGATCTGTTAACAATAAAAATAAATCTGTTTGTCAAAACTTAGACCAAAACCTATTACGGAAAGGAAAGCAACATAAAACCAAATAAAATTAGAAAACAAAAACCAAAAATTGATTTTGAGAACACGTGAAAACACCTAAAAGTTGAGAAAAAACAAAGATTGCATTCCATCAAAACTATCATTGCCTCAAGTTAAGAAATATTTAAAATAGTTAAATATCGTTAACAGTAATTATTTTTATTTAGTAATTAGTAATTTTTTTTGAATAATTGTTATTATACTCAAAAAAGAAAAAAAAAACGTGTTATTATCTCTCTGTAGATCTCATGGTTTTCTTCTTCTTCAGAAAACAGACTTTCGCCTGTGATAGGGTAGATGTTTCCGGTCAACATGACATCCAGAATCGAGCCTTGACTTAGAAATCAAAGCACTGTCTCTGATACCAAATGATGAAGCGGAAGCTTCTAGGGATAAAACTAGATCCGTTGATTCTGAGAATATCCGGAAACTAGGGTTTGAGAGTCCTCCTCTCAGGGCTTTCGCAAAAGCTCTTAGGGTTGTGAATACTCTTCACAGTGGTTTATAAAAACCTCTTTTAAATCCGTTGGATTGCCGGAGAGTTTAGGAGGATCTAAGACAAAAATCTTCTCTTTTGTCAGAGAGAGACTACAAACAAGGATTAATGGATGGTCGGCAAAATTTTTATCAAAAGGGGGAAAAGAAGTGATGATTAAATCGGTAGCTGCAGCATTACCAACTTATGTTATGTCATGCTTCAGATTACCAAAAACAATCACTTCTAAACTTACTAGCGCGGTTGCAAATTTTTGGTGGAGTTCAAATGGTGATTCTAGAGGTATGCACTGGATGGCTTGGAATAAATTGTGCAATAGCAAATCGGAAGGGGGACTAGGGTTTCGGAATGTTGACGATTTTAATTCAGCTTTACTAGCAAAACAATTATGGCGGTTGATCACGGTTCCAGATTCTCTTTTCGCAAAGGTGTTTAAAGGACGGTATTTTAGGAAATCCAATCCTTTGGAAAACATAAAATCATATTCTCCATCATATGGATGGCGGAGTATATGTTCAGCTAGATCTCTGGTTAATAAAGGACTTATTAAAAGAGTCGGATCTGGGACATCCATCTCGGTTTGGGAGGATCCCTGGATTCCAGCTCAATTCCCGAGACCAGCAAAAAGTAATGGCTCAGTTTCTGACCCATCTTTAAAAGTTAATGACCTTATAGATAGTCGGACGAACTTTTGGAATATTGATCTCTTAAAAGCGATCTTTGATCCAGAAGATGTTGCGCTAATAAGCGCCATACATGTGGGTGCGCCAACAAAAGAAGATTCTTTGGGTTGGCATTTTACAAAATCCGGACAATATACAGTCAAATCGGGCTATCATACCACACGGTTAGAAAAGTTGTTGACAAATTTAAATTTTTTTGGCCCTGATATCAATCCTTTAAAAGCACATTCTTGGAAAGTGCAGTGTCCACCTAAGATACGCCATTTCTTATGGCAAATCTTAGCAGGTTGTGTACCGGTTACGGAAAATTTGCGGAAACGAGGAATTGATTGTGACACGGGATGTGCTAGATGTGGCGCACCAGAGGAAACGATCAATCATACAATCTTTCAGTGCCACCCAGCACGGCAGATTTGGGCGCTTTCACAGATTCCTACGGCTATGGGGATTTTTCCCACAGAATCTAATTTTGCGAATTTGGATCACTTATTCTGGAGAATACCTTCGGAATTTGATTCATCAGCATTCCCATGGATTATTTGGTATATTTGGAAAGCAAGGAACGAAAAAATCTTTGAAAACATAGATACAGACCCCATAGAGGTATTACGATTAGCGGAAAAAGAGGCACAATTGTGGCAATCAGCTCAAGTTGACCTCCATAACAAAAATCATGGTTCTGTGGATCTGGTAAATCGAATTCGAGTGAGGGATGTTTCACTTGAGTCGAATTATTCCGGATACCGTTGTTTTGTGGATGGATCATGGAAAGGAAGTGATAAGTTCTCCGGTACAGGGTGGTTCTGTACATCGTCAAATGGAGAGCCGCCAACCATGGGAGCTGCGAACCTCCGTAGAAGTCTATCTCCACTACATGCCGAAGTCGAGGCCCTTCTCTGGGCGATGAAGTGTATGATTGGTGCAGATAATCAAGAGGTAGCGTTCTTTACAGACTGTTCAGACCTGGTGTAGATGGTGTCTTCTCCAACCGAATGGCCGGCGTTTTCAGTGTATTTGGAGGAATTTCAGAGCGACAAAGAGGAGTTTTCATCTTTCTCTTTATCTTTAATTTCTCG